AAAATGTTGGAAAAAAACCATTTCTGTCTCTTCCACCAATAAAATCAATTAGTCTCTTCTGGTGCGCCATCCACCTACTCTGCCTTTGACTGTTCCCTCCAAGATTAGATATTGCTCATTACAGAAATCCAATCCTCTGGTTATGAATTAGGAACATGCTTTCTATGGTTCATACTTTTCACAGTCTATAAATAAGAGTATCAGGATATGAAAACCAATACTGCAAACACTTGCTCTATTTCATTAGTCACTACAGCATCTTAAATAAGGAATTATAATAAAAGTGCTTACTCAACCAAACTATAACTACAGCAATCATTAAGCTAGATTTATGACTAAGAGGACACTTTCATAGTAAGTTTCTATTTTGAGCTAGGTATAGCTTTCAGAAAAAGTTGCTAAATTTTCTCATGGTGGTTCTTTACCGAAAAAATGAAGGGACAGATCTTCTGCTTTCTCTAGTGCCTTTGAAATATATCTTTTTGCAAACAGTCTGGAAAAATTGATCAAGAACCTGGACCTAAATGTTTTCATAAATAAACAGGAGATGTTTCAGTCCAAAAGGTAATTTTTTCCTTAAAGTTATAACTTTCTTTAAATAAGTCATCGTTTTGAAATCTTTTTAGCCACAATTTCCTTGTGAGATGATTAAATAATAGAATCCTCACATTATAACAAAGAGAAAACGAGGCAAAAAGGGTGCCTTTGTGATTGTCACCCAGAGTCAGTTTTGGTCAAAAAATTATAACAAAGCATAATGCCCTGACAAATCCAACATGATTTCTACCCAACTGAATATTTAGTTCTTCCTGAATGACTGAGATAGGTGCTTTAACTATTCTGTTTGTCATGAAAAGAATATATACCTGTAAGAGCCTAGAAATTTCTCCCAACTCATACTGTAAACCAAACTAGTTGGTGACTTTATGCTAGAATCTTGCAGACATCCTCAGCACAGCTCTTGTCTGGCATGCGCAGACAATCAGCATCCAAGCTGACAGTGGCAAACATTTTGCGTTAAAGAGGTGACAGAAGATCCATAATATCTGGTAGGGGACAGGAAGGGCTACTGACAGTTTTGATTCCTGGATTTACTGGGCCTATCTCTCCCAGTACAAACTATTAATATTATCATATGGCAAAGTTTTATCTGCTTCTGGCAGATTACCAGAGATATGAGGTGCAATGCACACCGAAGACACTGGGACCAACCTCTAAGGAAGGCATCTGAGAGACATTCAGGGGTTTTATACTTCCTTTGGAGCAAAAAACTTGCATTTCTAATTTTGATTGATGGCAAATAGATAAATGTGAAACATGCCCTATCTGTGGAATAAAGGTTAAAGGTCCCCACCTTGTCAGCTGACATAAAACATGGCAGTGGTGTTATATGTGAAGATATTCAGCATGATAAAATTAAACCGTGAAAAGAAAAACTAGCACATTAAATTGGATTGCTCTGAGGTTTAGAACCTTAGAGTGTAGAGTAGGGATGTCAATGTGTAGCCGACTACACAATTAACTGACAAGACTAGGCTTATCGGTTAATCCTGTTGACTACACACACTCCTGTCAGACAATTGGGAGAGGGGTGTGTACATGTAGTTGACAGGATTAACCAATAAGCCTAAAATCAGCTGTTAATCATGTAGTCCAGTGTTTCTCAAACTGTGCTCCGCAGAGCCCCAGGGCTCTGTGAGACATCTCCAGGGGCTCTGCGAGGTTGACAAACTGGAAACATTGAAAGGTACAACCAGGACCAGATTGAGGGGTGGGCAAGCCGGGCAGCTGCCCGGGGCGCCAACCAATGGGGGGGGGCACCTGATGGCAGCTGTAAGGGGCATGCGGCGTCCCTTATAGCTGCCATCAGGCGCCACATGCCCGGCTCCCACAGCGCTGGCCCCTCCCCGATTCCCCTGGCACCTGCCAGCAGCGTCCTTCCCCCCATGGCCGGTATGGGCGGCCCCGCACATGCGCCGTGCACCCGGGGCACCAAAATGGCTCAGGCCGGCCCTGGGTACAACACATACAATCAATGGACTGCTAAGGCTCTGCATAAGTACAACACATACAATCAGTGGACCGCTGGGGCTCTACATAAATTTTTACACATGTAAAGGGCTCCGGAGCCCAAAAAGTTTGAGAACCGCTGGTGTAGTCAGCTTCACGTGGACATCCCTACTCTATACTCAAAGGTTCTGGACCTCTGAGGCATGGACTCTATCAGAAGAAACAAACGGGGCAGGGGAGTTGGTGCCTGTGGTGCCTTTAAGGTGGATCTCTATGTGTGCTGGACCCACCTGCTGAGGCAGCAGCGCGGGCTAGAAGGGGGATCCCAGCGAGTGGGGCCGGGAGTACACTGGATGTGGGCCCTGCCTCTGGGGGCTATTGAATAGTTGTGAAACTGATAACATTTTGTACGGTTACATGACTATTCAATTGCATGCTATTTAACATCCCTAGTGTACAGAGGATTCTTTCTGCCTTAAGAGAGTTAGCCATGTTAATCTGATTCAGCAAAAATAACAAGGAGTCCGGTGGCATTTTAAAGACTAACAAATTTATTAGGGTATTAGAGTACAAGATTTTGTAAACTACAATCATTTCCTCAGATGCTGACAAGAAAAAGACAGACAGAAAAAAAAGGATATAGAGATGAGACTGAGATCAGTGCTAATTAAATCAGAATGGATGTGGCTCATCTACAACAACAGTGAGAATACCTGAATGTGAAGTTACTTATTGTAATGAGAGAACCACTCCATGTGTTCAGGGTGTCAACTTTGCATATGAATGCCAGCTCTGCAGTTTCTCTCAGTAGTCTGTTTTTGAAGTTTTTCTGTCTGAAAATGGTAACTTGCAAGTCTCTGAAACTGTTTTCCCAGAGAGGTTAAAATGCCCCCCTCCCTCCACTGGCTTTTGGATGTTGTCATTCTTGATATCTGATTTGTGTCCATTTATTCTTTTGCATAGATATAGTCTAGTTTCTTTGATGTACATGGCAGAGGGGCATTGTTGGCACAAGATGGCATATATTACATTAATAGATGGTATAGCTGATGTGGTTAAGTCCTGTGATAGTGTCACTAGGGCAGATGTGTGAACAGACTGCAAACAAACTACTGAGCTGGAATTCATATGTAAATTTGACACCCTGAACCAAGGTCTAAATCAGAGGCAGGGAACCTTTTTTGGGTCAGGGGCCACTAACTCTCAGAAAAATCAGTTGGAGGCCACACAACAGTGAGCAGCAAAAACAAACAAACCTCTCCAACTTCACTGATTTGGCCTCCAACATTCTTCTTGCACATCAGAACCTAGGAGGACCTAAGCTAGTAGATTTTGGGTGCCCCCCTAGACTCTGGGGTGTGGAGTCTTGGTGAGAGGGAGGGTGCAGGAGCGGGCTCAGGGTAGAAGGGCTGGGCAAGAGGTAGGGTGCAGGAGAGGAGGGAGAGTGCAGGAGCAGAGTGAGCATGTGGGGTATGGGCAGAAGGTGGGGTGCAGGAGTGGAGGGGTGCAGCAGTGGGCTGGAATGACTGGGTAGGAGGCAGAAGCAGGCTGGAGATTAGGAGTGTGGGTCTGGATGGGAAGTATAGTGCAGAAGAAGAAAGGGTGGTAGAAGCAGACTGGGCAGAAGGTAGGGTGCAGAAAAAGAGGGGGTGCAGGAGCAGGCTGTGGTTGGAAGGGCTAGGCAGGAGGTAGGGTGCAAGGGGAGGCTAGAGATTGGAGTGGGTGTCTGGGTAGGAGGTAGGGTGCAAGAGAAAGATGGGGGTGGGAGGTAGGGTGCACGAGTGGGCTGGGGGTGGGAGTCTGTGTGGGAAGTAGGTTGCAGGAAAACAGAGGGGATGTAGGACCAGACTGGAAACTGGGGTGTCTGCAAGCATGTTAGGGTGCAGAAGCATGCTGGGGGTGGGAGGGTCTGGGTGGGAGGCAGGGTGCCGGAGCTGGCTGGGGCTGTGGGGTCTGGGCAATGGGGGTGTACTTACTTGGTGCAGCCTCCCAGGGATGCGCATGACTTTGTAGCCCTTGCAATAAATTAATGCAGAGTCGCAGTGGAGGTTGAGGCTAGGACCCGGCTCAAGCCAGGATTGAGACAACCTGTTAGCCAGCTTGCAGAGTAGCCAATAACATTAACTGATAAGCACCACCTGTGCTTATCAGTTAATTGCTTAATCGACTACACTATTACGTCCCTAATTCCTGCCCAGAAGTTCTAGTAACCTGGAATCTTTATTGCTGAGGATATACTCTGGAGGACCAAACTGTATGTTTCTTAGTCCGCTCAAACAATAATAAGCCCAGTGTAGGATTTAAACAGCATCCAAAGCACTTGTAAGAGGCTAAATATCAGCTGTCTTGGAAGTGGCTGGTATTAAGGGTGATGTGAGTTGTAGAACTTTAACTGGCTCCAAAATGTCTTCATTTATGGCCACAGTTATTCTGCCTGTTTGGAATGGAGTATATCAAACAGTATTTCTCCTGAACTACAAAATTCTAAATCCAAGGCCTCTTCAGTTCTGGGCATGATCTTCTGAAAGGCCTTGAAAACAACTGGAGAAAGAAGTCAGGGACTGGCAGGAAGAATGGTAGCTGGAGTAACAGTCTCAAAAGAAAACAATCAGGTTTCTGTTTTCATCTTCCATGTGCTCTCAATTTGCTCATCCTCCCAAACAAAGAAGCATTGAGATAACTAGCTCTTCTAATGAATGTCAAAGAAGAAGATAACACCAGCCTTTTGTCAGAGTGTTTACTTCCCAGAATTACTTTTTTTCAAAATGGGGATGTGGTATTTACATTGCCTAATCAAAACATGGTAATATTGATCCATGATGATGGGAGAGAAATATCTGGAGAGGTCCGGGAAATGTGAAAGCAGTCAAGGAGTCATATGTTAAGCATTCAGTACTGCATCTGAAATTAATCTGTCTAGTTTTATAGAGAAAACCCCTGAAGAAAGCAAATCTGTTGTCCAGAATAAACATGCTCTTTTCTTCCTGCAGGGCAAACCTAGACCCAAAGTCACTTGGGTAAAAGATGGTCATACACTAGATTTCAAAGATGTGGGAATTCGGAATAGCACCACAGATACTATCTTGTTCATCCGAAAAGCTGAGCATCACCACTCCGGGACATATGAAGTGGAAGTACAAATAGACAACATGAATGATAAGGTTGCTGTTACCATTCAGATAATGGGTAAGAAATTACTGACTCTAGAACTAGAAGAAATTAGTACAGTAACGTTGCCCTGATTAACCGTTGCTTCATTGTTATGTTGCTTATCTATTAGAGCACATGCTTGTTTAAAGTTGTGCAATGCTCCCTTATAATGTCATTTGGCTGCCTGCTTTGTCCACTAGTTGCAGGATTTTCTGGAAATCCTGTCTTTTTGAGTTTGGAATCAGGGTTGGCTGGCAGCCCCCCAATGAGATATCCAGCTGGGTAGCTGCCTTTCAGCTGTCCATACTTCCCCCCATGTGCTGCTCCTGCCCTCTGCCTTGGATCTGCTCCCTAGAGCCTCCTGCTTGCTGTGCAGGGTGGAGGAGGGGAAGGGGGATATGCTGATGTTAGGATGTCCTCTCCCCTCCTACATCTCGGCTCCCACTCCATACCCCATTTCTGCAAGGAAGTGTTTGCAGCCACTGCCATGTGTCTATTATTAGGCTTCATTAACAACATGTAAACTTTTGAGGGCTCAGCCAAGTGCCACTTCATCATTTAGTAGCAAGGCATTCCCTGAGAAATATTCCACACTCTTGACTCCAGCACCTCAACCAAACTTCACAATATTCATTGCTTTGTACAAAATTAAATTGTTAAAAATTATTTAAAACTTATACTGTATATGTATATACTGCCTTTTGTCTGCTGAAAAAAAATTCACTAGAACCTAACCCCTTGTATTTACATTAATTTTATGGGGAAATTGGATTCGCTTAACATCATTTAACTTAAAGTAGTATTTTTCAGTAACATAACTACAACTTTAAGCAAGGAATTGTGTGTATCTTTTACAGAAGTAGAAAGTATTGATCCCAGATGTGGTGCGTAGGAAATATGAATCCAGAAATGTATATCCTGCTGACCCAACTACCCCTCAGTTCCTTTTTACCGCCAGCCACAACTGTTGCAACAGAGCCACATTCCATTGCAAGTGCCACGAGTCACTAGTGTTTATAGTTCATTTGTTGATAGTTGATCATTAGAAGTCAGTGTTTTGTTAGCAGAGTGGCTTTCTCTTCCAGTCTGTGTTCCCTTAGGGACTGCAGGGCTATGTCTACACCCGCGGCTTCTTGTACGAGAAAAATGCAAATGAAGCTAAGCGTGGAATATCGCCGAGCCTCATTTGCATGCCTAATGAGCCGCCATTTTTGCAGAAGAGGCTCTTGCGCCAGAAGGAGCTGTCTACACTGCCCCTTCTTGCGCAAGAAAAACCCTCTTGCGCAATGCTGTTATTCCTGAAAATAATTGGCATAGCGGCCAAGTGTAGACATAGCCCAGGTGTCCCACAGCTTCAAATCTTGCAGTTCCTGTTGAAATCAATGCCTACAAGTGACCTTCACGACTCATGTCTCCGGTGCCTGAGGGAAGCTCATCAGACAGACAGATGCAGGATCTGAAAGGCTTTTAAACCAGACCGTAAAGGAGTAGGATTTTCACCTAAAGCAGCTCCTAATGGAATCCACTCTTCACTCTCAGCGGCAGGACCTGGCACTGAGCACTTCAGTGAGTAGTGTCCCATCTCCAGTCCCAGAGTCAGCACCGAAGACAGAGTCATCCCAGCACCAGTGTTCACTGAAGGCTATGACATCCTGGCACCAGTTGCACTCCTCAGTGAAGTCTTCTAGAGGGTCAAATCTTCATTCTGGGCACCAGCAAAACTCTCAACTTTGACCTTAACCACCATACCAAAAGGTCCAGCAGGGTCTTGATCCCAGGGCACAAGGGATCTTCTAGAGCTCTGAGTCTTATCCTCCTTGACTCTGAGCTCAGAAGCGATGGTCATCAGCCCATCTTCCACTGTGGAGACCTCTGAGGCTGCTCAGGGCCTCATTGAAATGACTCCATCCCTTGCCAGGGATAGGCCACTTCACCCACCTTACCAGTTGTCCTCGTGGGGAATGCCAGCTATATTGGGTCCATCTGCTCTAGTCATAGCACCCCTCTGCTCAGAGTCCCAGCTCTGCTCAGCATTCCAGTCCTGCTCCCATGAGTGCTGCTGGTCTGACTCATGGCACCGGTCTCATAGTTGGTCCTCTCAGAGCCTTTCACACATAAGAAAGTCTGTGGTGAGCTGATCCTGGTCTGGCTCAGAGTCACCTAGATGATCAGGGCAATCCCTGTGCTCCTGGCACCAAGCCATATTGCGGCATCCTTCAAGATCTAGGTCATATGTTAGCCAGCATCCTGCTCAGAGCCATCACTTTTCACCTTGACACCAATCCTGGATCGTGTTTGCCTCACCTCAGACCCCACAGAATCCCAGGTCCCAAAAGCAAGATGCACAACATGATGCCACCCATCTTGCCACTGTCCACCTCCCAGGAGGCCCCTCTGGCCTCAACTTTGTCCCCGTTCGGGGTTGCTCAGGATCTGAGCCTGCCTTTGGCCTCCCCAGATGAGGCAATGATGGGAATATTAGGTGCTGGCTCTCCACCCATGAATTATAGTGCATTGGAAGACATCCTCCACAATGTGGCCCTGAGCCTTAATCTACAGGTGGAGGAGATGGCTGAGCAGGACGTACCTATGGTTGACACATTGTCTCCAGAAGTCTCTTCCAAGGTGGCGCTCCCCATTATAGAAACAATCCAGTCTTCAACAAACACCATCTGGCAAACCTTGGCCTCTATCTCTCCCACAGCGAAAGGGGTGCAGTGGAAAGGACTTTGAAAGGCCGTTTACTATGTTTATTCATGGTGGAGGCAGTGAACGAGAAGGAGAAGCATGGTCATATGGTCCCAAAGCATAAGTTGAGGGATGCTAAGTGCCTCAACTTACTTGGACACAAGTTAATTTCCTGGGGAACTTGCTACTCAGAATAGCAAACCAGCAAACTATCTTGAGTATATATAACCTCTGAGCGTCTCTCCTCAAGTTCTAATAACTGTTGCCACAGGAGTCATGGGATGAGTTTGCTGCCCTCATACAGGATGGTAAAGCAGTGGCCCAGACCTACCACCAGACATCTTAGGACATGGCAGATTCTGAGGTGTATGTCATACCACTGAGGATCACTATGCACAGAAATACCTGGCTCCAGCCCTTGGGGCTCCTCTCGGAGGTCCAACAGATAATTCAAGACCTCCAATTTGGTGGAGTTGGCCTCTTTGCAGAGCAAACTAACTTTCGACTGCAAAGCCTCAAGAACTCCTAGAACACTATGAAGTTCTTATGCATGAACACCGCAGCAATGTAGCGCAAGGCTTTTAAGCCACAGTCCTCCAAGAGTCCTTCCCCACTCAGACCAAATCTGAGTTTTCCCATCATCGCCTTCACTATTCCCATAGGAAATCGTCTTGACTCTTCCGGCAATAACTAGGGTCGAGTGAAGTCCTCCTTGGGCTCCAAGCAGCCCTTTTGAAGGTTTGCCCAAGCACAGAGCACCTACAGTACTAGATCCTTCCTCACCTTTCCTGAACCATCTGTCCCCTTTCCAGCATGCCTGGGCCAACATTACTTCAGACTGTTGAGTCCTGAGATAATCTATCCCATCTGCTGCCTTCTGTTCATCCCTCTTCAAGGATTCTTCTCACAAACAGCTTCTGCTTTGAGATGTGCAAACACTCCTGGATCTAGGGGCAGTGGAGGAAGTTCCTCAAGTTCAAAGCCTGGGGTTTCTAGTCCGACTAATTCCTTATTCTGAAAGCAAAGGGAGGCCTCAGGCTGATTCTGGATCTCAGGGCACTCAACAAGTTGGTCTGCAACCACAAGTTTCATATGGTCTTCCTGAACTTCATCCTTCCCTCCTTAGATCCAGTACACCACTCTTGATTTTCACATTGCAATCAAGCCTTCTCACCAGGGATATCTCCATTTTATATAAGGGAGGCTCACTTCCAGTTTATGGTCCTTCCCTTTGAACTGTCCACAGTGTCCTATACTTTTACCAAATGTATGACAGTGATGTCTGCCTTCTTCTGCCATCATGGTGTCCAGGTTTACCCTTATCTGAATGATTAGCTTCTAAGGGGCCGGTTCTGACAGCAGGTGGTGGCTCAGGTGGGCCTCACCCAGACCACACTCACACGAATAGGCCATCTGCTCAACCCTAGAAAATTGACCCTCACATCCACACAAAGGATCAAGGTCATGGGGGGCAGTTCTGGATGCCACTGAGGCTCTGGTGTTTCTGCCAAAGCAGAGTTTGGTTGCAATAACCAACTGTTACAGTGTCATAGATTTCCCTATCACCACTGCCAGAATGTGCCTCTAATTCCTGGGCCACATGGTTGCTTGCACGTATGTTGTTCTGTTTGCCAGGCTCCATCTCCGGCTGCTGCAATCATGATTCAAATCAGTGTATTGCCCAGCCCGTGATAGCATCAACATGGTGTTGACAATCCCTCACCACATTATCCATGCACTCCAGGGGTGGCTGGACCCACAGTCAGTGAAGGTCAGAGTCCCCTTCCATGCTCCAGAGCTTATGACTGCCCTCATCACAGAGGCTTTCCGCTTTGAGCTGGGAGGCTCACCTTGGAGATTTCACCGTCTAGGCAATGGAGACAGTGGAGGAATTGTCTCTCTACAGCAGTGTTCACAGGCTCCAGGCCATCCGCCTTATGCATCAAGCATTTCTGTCTCACCTTTGAGGGTGAAGTGTGGTAATTATGATGAACAAGACCTCCATGTACTATATCAACAAGCCAGGTGGAGCCCAGAAAGCTTTTCAGTTGTGGAAGCTTTGCATAGCCCATTCTATACATCTGGGGTCATCATACCTCCTAGGGGTCCAGAATCGGCTAGCAGACCATCTCAGCTGGAACTTCATTTCCCACCAGTGGTTGATCCAACCAGATGGCATCCCCGCTATTTTCCAGAGGTAGAGGTTCTCCAGTTAGACTGCTTTGCAACCCAAGATAACTGAAAGTGCTCAGAGTTTTGCTCCTTCTGGAACCTCAGTTTGGGTCACTGGCAGACACATTCCTGATCCCATTGCAGAAAAGACTGTTGTATGCATTCCCATCATTCCC